AGCAGCATGCTGAACTGTTAAGGGGTTTAGTTTGTTTATATCACTTTTACTGCCTGACAGTGTCATCAGCAGAAGGATCAGGAATCAGATGTGTGCTACGTCTAACACCAGTGAAACCCGATCTTGAGTAATTGTCGGAATAAGTCGAAGGATTGACCTCTGCCATGAACCATGTTTTCTCAAACAACACACACTTGAGCTGGCTTTGAACCAGCCTCTCCTGCAGGACCGGAGCGGCGAGGAAACCAGTTATCAGTGTTTTAGTGTAGCTAAACAAAGTCCGTGGTAATTTCATTTGCACACTCTGACAATAAGCAGAAAGCTGATGCTGTGCGCTTCTCCCCTGGGGCTCGTCCCCCTACTGGCCAAGGCTGGAAACTGCAGCAAGATGAGGCTCCAGCTCCTTTGGATAGAGATGGTTGAGCAGTGAAATGCTGCCTTTTCTCCATTTATCATCAAATACTCCCAGTCAGATTTATTCATTAGAATACCTCATAAAGAAGAGCGACAGTCTGATTGTTTATTCTGTGTTTTCTTGACTCGCCACCAGGGAGCACCAAAGCTGCATGTTGAGTCTCATCTCAGGAATATTTAAATATCCCGTCTCTATCTGTAGTTTTGTTGTATATTTATTACTTTTTTATGATTAAAAAATAAAGATATAAGATAATCTCCAAATATTATTAATTGGCTATCACTAAAATTAAAGCAGAGTGTTTGTTCAGATTCTAGCGTAGATTTATAAACATTCAAAATCTGTTCTTATTACTGTTTTACTTATATTGTAGTTTTTAATCAATTTAATTAACTTCAAGATGTGTAATTTTAACAGTTTTTAACTGTTTGCTTGTAAAATGTGACAGATTATGTAATTTTTGTGGATCATCTCAAGCAGGGTTTCTACAGGTTTCACTTTAAGACTTTTAAAAACCATTTAAAGAATATTGTAAATTAAATTTAAGACCTGTATCACATCATAAATGAACAAAAGAAATAGTCTTAAATCCCTGTGGTGCCAAGCTTTTTTGCACAGGATAACGTTAGCAGCGTATCCGTTGGTAAAGGAAGAGCTTCCTAGCTAGCTAACTAGATTATTTTAGCTAGTTAACTAGCAAGTTTTTCTCCTCCGACTGTTTCCACTGCATATATAACTGCCAGTCTCCCTATGCTAGCAGATAGCATCTTATGGGTTGGCAACAGAAGTGATCTCATTGCGAAGATAAATGTCATCCAGCCAACTGATGGTAAATTTGCACTTCAGTCAAGGTTGCTAGTTTTCTCCTCACTCTGTATCCACTACCTTACATAGCTGTTAATATTGCTTTGCTGGCTAGCAAGGGTATATTAGCAGCAAGTTAGCATTAGCCTCATTAGCCTCAAGTCACAGAACACAATGAAGAAGTGACTCAAATGTTTTCCTGACACAAAAAAGGACTACATACACAAGATTAAATAGTCCTGCTACCACAAAATTTAAAACCTGCCATCAACTTATTTGAGGCCAACTTATCTATTTTTTAAATGAATTTAAGACTTTTTAAGGTTTTTTTAGGGTGTGCGGTCTCTCTGTATGAATCTCTCCATTGTAGTGTGGTGGGCCCCCAGAAAGCTTGAAACGGCCCTGCTTTAACCAAAAGCAGCAGACAGATTTGTGTCTTTGGTGTTTTGACAGCTTTCAGTCCTTTCATCCGAGGTCCTCCCCACCGCTCCGACTCTCAGTTTGAGGGAATCGGACAGATGCGCGATCCGGCAGATGGCCGCCAAGTCCACGGACGGATGACATCTGTGGCTTGCGTACAGTACAGAGTCTGCACAACTGTTGCCCAACGGCTGCCATTAATTACCACATGCCAATTACAGCTCTTTTATACTCCGGCCTGAAAAGGAATCTGCTGGTGAAAACTATGTCCGCTTGTTCGCCTAAGATGTGGTGCCGGCTGCAAGGGTAATTGAATATGGATCAAAGGCATTCATGCCTTTCGTAAAGGTCTAGAGGGCTGCTCAATTTTTAGTAATAACAGAAACGCTTCCGGCGCTGACCTCTACTGCCCCCCTTTCTGTTTTCCTCCCTCCTCCGTCTCGGATCCCTGTTTTAAACAACGCAGGCTGCTTCAGTTACTTCGTCTGACGCTGACAAAGATGGACAAAAGGAATGAAAAATATTTAAGCTGAGGGAAAAAATGCGTAATGTAGCCAGGGAGCAATTCCTGCAACAACAAAAAAAAAAACTCAGAATGGGTAAGACGTTATAAAAAAGGTCCAATACTAGACAATGTAGTTTATTAAAGGTGACATATTATGCTTTGTTGAACAGGTTAGGTTAGGCTTATGGCTTACACAAAACATGTTCAGTAAACTTTTATTGCACAAAATCATTCTTAGAAAATTACATTTAGTCTGCTTAGTTCGAACTCCTCTCAGAATGCTTAAGGATCTCCTGTCACTTTAAATTCAAACAAGTTGAATGTTTAAACTCGCACATGAAAATGTGCAATTATACAACTGTACATTTTTGAAAAGCATTAGTAGCACCTCCTGCACAACCAACAAGAATGCAGCAAGTGGTTTCTGAATGGTAAGTCAACAAAGAGCAGCCATTATACAGCAGTAAAACCAGCTGACCAAACGTGGTGGAGCTCAGCTTGGGTTGCTAGGTAACGACGTTGGGCTCAGCGGAGGTTGCTAGGTAACGGTGGAATGTAATGTTACATTCTGGAGGTTTTTGAAACAGCTCATTTTCCAGACCCCAGAAAATGGTCTAAAGACCAACTGGGTGATTTTTTTTCCTTTTCTTTAAGTGCTTGGGCTGTTTTTAGAAACAGTGGAGAACAAAATGTGAACTTTGAAACAATGGGTTCTTTTGTCATTCAAAACAGATGAGGTTTAAGCTTTTTTTTTTTTTTTTTTTTAAAATCCTGATCACATTTTACTCTGGAAACATGCTGGACTCCAGCAACATAAAAAACTCCAGATAACGAGTCTGAAACTCGAGTTTTTGGCACCGGACCCGTCAGTATGACATCAGGTTGCAGCACTCCATGATAATGACGACTTATTTGATCCGAGTGCTGAAGCAGAGATACGTGTCCAAATCTCATCAAAAACCAAAGACGATGATTGTAATATTTGGTTTGCTGCTCATTTCAGCGGCCAACTTTACACTGAAAACAGATGTGTTCATGTGGACATTGTTTCACCTTTTAGTTTTTAAATACTTCTAAATGTTTAAACAAAAGGTAATTTAATTTTTTTCAGCAAAATGTTCCTCTTTTGGATTAAAACTACACTGCAAAAACACAAAAACATTAATTCTTGTTTACTTTCAAATGCAAATACTTTAGTACACACGGAATAAGACAAAACTAACTTATAACTAACTTTTCAGTGCGATATGGTATTTTGTTTTAACTCTAATTCTTCTTTTTTGATAAAAGAAAAGATTTTAATTAGGTTAAGATTTTTTCGCTTATGAGGAAAATGTCTTATTCATGAAAAAGCTACTATTTTGTTCAAGATTAAGAAATTGTTGACTCAAAACAAGCTCCTATATGTTGCTGAAACATTACTTGTATGCTAGTTTTGTCTTTATTTTTAAAGATCTTTGCAGTGGAAACAAGTGAAAGGACTTGATGAGACTTTGTGTTTTTGCAGTGTTAGTAAAGCCAAAGGAATCTATTTTTAAATTCTGGTTCAGATTCTCCTGGGGGTTTTAGAGGTTTATGTGTCTCCAACAGTCTTGATTAAAATCATAAAATTTCAGTTTAAAGTTGTGCAGAAGCTCAATCAGGTTGAGAGGACCACACTTGGTTTATTCTCCCAACAGCTAAAAGTTTTAATAATTTTCTTCCTGGATTTATTATCAATTTCCACCCTGGTTAAAATCCAGGAACATTTATTGGTGGGTTTCTTACCAGCTACATAAAATACAACGACCATTGAGATTTTTCTTCTGTTTCATGTTTCTCTGTCTTATCCTGCTGTGCTACCTAGTGGCGAAGAGCAGAACTGCTAGTGAATCACATCCCAGGTGTTTTCTGATTCGGTTCTTGGATCCGTTCATGGCAGCATGTTGTTCAAGACTGGAGACCTGGCAGGAAATTAATCTAAGAAGCCTTTTCATTTTTGATTGCATTCAAAGTTAAGTTTTTGTGCTCTATTGTGTATTTAAATTAGATTTTCGTTTACTCTTCTAATTTTCTGAGTAGTTTTCTGGTTGTGTCTTCATGTTTTGTTGTGTTCGGTGTAATTGAAAATGTTTTCCATTCATTTGTTACTTTGGGATTTTGTTTCGCTTTTGGGCTATTTTTTATTGTTGAACCTTTCTCTCTTAATTTTTGAGCACGGTCTCCAAGTTGCTTGACTCTGCAGATTGCTTGCATTCAGCAACTACATGAGCAATTTGTGAGTCAGAGGAGCAACATTCCTCTCAAAATTCAGACTCCAAATGGGTGAAAAAGTGACCAGGTTTCCAAAAATCTTTTGAAAGTTTGAAGAATTGATGGAAAAAAACTTTTAAATGATACAAGAAACACATATTTGAAGTAAAAAATAATTTAATGCTTTTATTTTTACATAAATCTCAAACTGCTGCAAGCAAGGATCATAAAATACAGAATTAAGCTCGACTAATTAATTAAAAGAAAATCATAAACTGCTTAGAGTTGCGTCATGAATAGATATTTTCTCACTTTTTATGAGGAAAATGTGCTGAAAATATTTTTCTTTAAAACTTTTTTAGCTTGAAACTCATTCTGTGTTTTTAGAGCAAATCAGTAAATAACATTTTCTTTTTTAAAATTGGAAGAAAGATGTGCTTTTAAAAAGAATTAGTCAAATCTTTTTCACTTTTAGTCTTGAAGAAATGCTGAGCTGTGCATCGTTGGAACATCTGGTGTAAGTCTGCCCCCTAGTTTTCAAAATATTGAACTGACATCACTGAAGCTGATATACACAAGCTGCATCCTGTACAAAGAAAGCAACATAAAAATAAATACTTAATTCAGAGGCAGCCAGCAGATGATCAACATCTGCAAAACATTTTATAAATTAAAGCAGTTCTGATTATAAAACATGAGTTACAATTAATCTTCCAGGTAAATAAAATCATTTCTTTTTTCCAGGTTTGGATAAGCATCCCATCGTGGAGGAGAACTTGAGGGCCGACCTCTCGCGCAGCGATAAATGGGAGTTTTTCTTCGTTTCTATGGGGGTTGAAGTCCTCAGAGGCAAATCCACGTTATGAAGGGGGTTCAGCAGGGAGGGAACCACATTGGTTCTGTTAGCAGCAGCGAGCGGCCCGACAGGTTCGTCCTGATGGTCTATTCCAAGTCCCTCCAGGTGGGTCTTGAAGGTGGCAGTCTGCTGCTCCAGAGAGCTGAAATTCTCCTGAACTTTGTCAAACTGCAGGAAGAAATGAGTTTAAATAACAGGGTTTCTTCTGCAACTCAAATTTAAGACTTTTTAAGACCATTATGATTCAAATTTAAGACCTGTATCATGTCAGAAATGCACAAAGGAAAATGCCTTAACCCCTGTAGTGCTTGTTGGTACAGAATTAATGTAGCAACAAAACTGCTCCAGTGGTGGAGAAGCGTGCTGGAAATTTGCACTTAAACTTTGACAGACGCAATAAGTGAGCTAACTAGCAGTAGAGTTTCACCTCCGTCTTCTTTAAATTTTAATGGCAGCTTGCATCCATTACTGTTGCACTACTCCCATCTGTTGGATCCTAAAACTTCTTCCTCAAATTCTCCTAATGAGCCCAGTATTTTTTTAAAAAACAAAACTTCTTCCCTTTTCCTTCATTACTATTAAGTGAGCAACCACATTCTCAAATTTCAATTCCCTATTAAAACCTATTTCCATATTCAGTAATCTTCTTTGAAGCTAGCTAGCTTGCTTGTTTTAGCTAGCTATCTAATTTTTAGCAAGCTAGTTTTTCTCCTAACTTCATTTCCACTGCATATATATTTGCAGGGTATATTGGGTATATTAGCAGTTAGCCCACTGCTGACAAATTAGCACATAAACCATGATAGACACAGAAAAGCTACCTTGCAAGCTAGTTAGTTGGCTTGTCTTAGCTACGTTTCTCCCTCCATTTCCACTGTATATATAGCTGCCAATATACCTTCGTAAGCTAGCAAGCATATGTTAGCAGCTAACATTGTATGGGTTGGCAGCAGAAGTGATCCAATGCCAAAAACGTTGTCTAGGCAACTAGTGATAAATTTGCACTTAAACCATACGGACACTCACTTTTTTAGCTGGCTAGCTAGTTTTTCTCCTCTCTCTCTTTCCATTGCATTTATAGCTGTTAATATGCCATTGATATTAAGCCTGCCTGACAGAAAAATCTCACGTGAAAAAAAGCTTTATACAATATATGAGATTAATCTGGGATCACAAAATCTAGGATTTGGAAATAATGTATTCAAAGCAAACTTAGCTTTTAAAAAAAAAACTAAATTAAGATGTTTTAATGATGCTCTGGCACCCTGAATAAATCTAATCATCTTTTCTTTCAAAGTTTAAGGTACCTGTTCGATGCTGGACTGAAGCAAAAGCTCGGGCCAGACGGACTCGCAGCCGCAGTTCACTTTGGTGTTGATGTGAGCGTGACTCCAGGTTAGCTCCTGAGGAAGCAAAACAAAATACTTTCAGCCAAAAAAATAGAAAACATCAAAGACTTGTTGTGTTGGGAGGAAAGTTGCACCTGTAGGAGCTGTGTGCAGCCTTTCAGGTGAGCCTGACAGGACTGGAGTTTGGACCGGTACTGAGCCAACACTGACATCAAGCTCTGGGACACAAAGTGACAAGATAATTAACGATAAAATGTTAATTAAGCAGCAGTCTGTGCTGCTTACCTCGGCGTCTTCCTGAACCAAAGTCAGGTCTCTGCTGCCCAGGCTGTCCTTTTTGGTGAGCGTCACTCCAGCATGGAGCTCCTCCAGCTGGGTCCAGAGCCCGTCCAGACCCTGCAGCAAGTCCTCAACGCTGGACTCAAAGTCCCTCTGGACCTGGACCAGAACCTGGAGGGATGCCGTCCTGTGAGAGGGGAACGATTCTCAATCATTCACATAATGAGAGTGTTTTTCTTTATGATTTGACATGCTTTGTTTATTACTTTGGAGCTTTGCTTTGTTTTTAATTCCTTTTGGATTATTTTTTTATTGTTGAACCTTTTTTATTTTTTTTTATTTTTTAAGTGTTCCTCAGATGCTTGACTCTGCAGATTGCTTGCTTTCAGCAACCAGACAATGCGAGCAACTTGTGGGTTGCAGGAGCATTATTCCTCTGAAAATTCACACTCCAAATGAGTGAAAAGGGGACCAGGTTTAAAAAAAACCTTAAGAAAGTTTGATGAATTAATAAAATAAACACTTTAAAGGACCACAGGAAACAAAAAATTGTAGGAACAAATAGTTTAACGATATAGTAATACATTTTACTTATCATGATTATTTCACTATTTATCATTTATAATGATTAATTATGCTTTTTTTATTTGCTTTCTTTATTTTGCGACTATAAAGTCGGCTCCCATTGCTGAATAAACTATAAAATTGACCCATAAACCTAGCGGCCATTATTACTTCCGTAAACAGAGCGCTGCTGGGTGACGTCAACGTTCTTCTACTGCGCATGCGGGTAGCTTTGGGGACAAAAACGTTAATGTAGACGTGGAGGCGCACACACAGAAAAAAGTCTGAATTCAGGCAAAAAAATCGGACATGTTGTCTGAGCAGGAGTTGAAATTTCGAGAATTAATCTGATTTTACATTTAAAGAAATATATTTAAAATGTTGAACGTGTAACACTCGCTATGTGTTTACAGTTAATAAATTTGTAAT